TATTTTCTATAATCTTCTTATGCTTTTAGTCAAACCTGTAATTCTTTGGTAAATAAATTAAATGATTTTAATTTTATTCAAATCGACTAAAATATGTGCCTGATTTATGAAAATTTTTGGTGAATCAAGCAATAGAATCATCATGAAGTGCACATAACAGCATTCAAGCGCATTGTGAGCCTCAATCACAATTAGCTACATATAACTTTTGATGAAGTCCTTCACAGGTTTGGAAAATGTTTAGTTTCCAGTTGTATGTGAATCCTTGCAACATGTTTTCAGCGATAGTGATATGGCCAAATACTCTTGGATAATGACCGAGGGAGAGATGTTCAAAGAATTTCCAGTACTTGATGGAACTTAAGCACCACCAACAATGTACATGCAACAAATTTGTGTTTCTTGGGAAATATGGAAAGGCTGGACAACTCATAAATATGGAGATCATTACAAATTGTGACTTCAACCAAGATATATCCTGTGGAATAGCAAGGAAGCATTTCCACTGCCTCTCCAAACTGTGACACTAGAGGTACATGGGATGAACTTTGTGCAAGAATTGAAAGGTACAAACTTGTTGTCGGTGGATCAAACCTGTGATAGGTAAGATAAAAAACAACACATATGTGAGTGAAAGAATATTTTCCTCAATTCCATCTCTCTATTTTACTGATCCTTATATACACAAAGATAGCAACAAATAAGGCTACAAAATTAGGAGTCAGAAACTACAATTTAGGAATGAATATATACTCCTAACTAATTTACCATAATACAAGATATTTACTATATATTTAACACACCCCCACAATCGAAGCGGGAGGTTTGCGGATGCTAAGATTGTCCCGAAATTCTTCTAACAGACATGTGGAAGACCTTTTGTGAGAATGTCCGCTATTTGATAACGGGATGGAACATGTAAAACACGAACCTGTGCACGAGCAACCTTTTCTCGAAAAATGTGGATATCCATTTCAATATGTTTTGTACGCTGATGTTATACTAGATTACCCAATAAATAAATAGCACTTACATTGTCACAGCATACAAGTGTGGCTTTCTTAATCAGACAATGCAACTCTAAGAGAAGATTACGAATCCAACATGATTCAGAGACGACATTGGCCACCCCACGATATTTGGCCTCGGCACTAAAATGAGACAATGTGGGTTGTAGTTTTGATGACCATGAGACAAAGTTGTCTCCCAAAAACACACAATACCCGGATGTAGAGTGTCGGGTGTCCGGGCACCCTCTCTAATCTCCATTAGTTTAAGACACAAGAGTGGAGAATGAAAAGGGATAAAGGTGAAGTCCATGATCCAAAGTACCCTTAACATACCGGATTATTCGTTTGAGAGCATTAAAATGATCAATACGCGAATTATGCATATGGAGACAAATTTGTTGAACAGCATAAGATATATTCGGACGGGTAAAAGTTAGATATGAAGGGCCCCTGCAAGACTTCTGTAAAGAGTGGGATCAGCATAAGGAACATTAGAATTAGCACTAAGTTTGGGTTTGGAGTAAATCGGAGTAAGAGTCGGTTTACATGAGGACATGCCGGCTCGTTCAATTATTTCTACAGTATAATTCCGCTGTGAAAGAAACATACCACCCTTATGTATAGTGACAACAATACCAAGAAAATAATTTAAACGACCCAAATTTTTCATAGCAAATTCATAACTTAGAAGAGCTATGATAGAACACCGAAGAGCATTAGAAGAAGCAGTAAGAATAATATCATCAACATATAATAAAATGTAAGCCATGTTCAAACCCTAGTTGTAGATGAATAGAGAATTGTCACACCGGCTTTTAGTGAAACCAATGGACAAAACATAATCAGCAAAATGCTTATACTAAGCCCAGGGAGCTTGCTTAAGGCCATACAAAGACTTACGTAACAGACAAACATAATCAGGATGAGTACGATCCCTATACCCCAGGGGTTGATGCATATAAATAGTTTCCTGAAGCTCACCATGAATAAAAGAATTTTTGACATCCAATTGATGAATTGGACATGCCTTGGACAGAGATAGACTAAGAACAGTCCGGATTGCAGCCGGTTTGACCACCGGACAAAATGTCTCACCACAATCAATACCAACCTGTTGTGTTTTGCCATCACCTGCAAGACGTGCTCTATGCCTATCAAAAACACCATTTTGATTTGACTTTATGAGTAAAAATCCACATAGACCGAATCACATTCACATTAGGTGGACGGGGCACTAACTCCCACGTCTTATTTTTAATAAGAGAATCATATTCATCATCCATGGCCATTTTCCAATTTGGATCACAGAGATCCGCAATCATATTACAAGTCAAAGGTTACCTTGTAATCTCAGAAACAAAAGAATATTTCTTATTTGGTTGAAATATCCTATTTTGACTACGAGTCACAACTCTTTGCCGCTGGAGAGGAATTTGAGTGGGTTGTGGTGCTTAGTTGTTTGATGGTGTGGAATGTGTTTGGGCCAACGGGGAAGTATGGGGTGAGGAATGAGGTGACGGGCTGTCAAGGGAGGATGTCCCATAGGGAGGTTAGGGAAATTCAGTAGAGAGAGAAGCGGGTTGAGCTTGCTGGGAAGAGGCGCTTCCAGGTGGAGTAGATTGGGCCGGGGAATGGGCCGCAGGATGTGGAGGGTCGTTGGACGCAACAATAGAATTTGTAAAATGTTGAATAACATAAGAATTTAGTCCAGAGTCTAAAATATTACTTTGTGGAGAAGAAGGAGTATGTAACTTTGCGAAGGGGAAGGAATTCTCATAAAAAATAACATGTCTACAAATAATAATTTTACGAGAGGATAAATCATAGAATTTGTAGCCACAGTGATTCGGGGGAAATCCCTAAAAATACACACGAAGTAGATCCGGGTTGCAATTTATTAATTGTGGGAGATGGAAAAAGTGGATAACACAAACACCCAAAAACCCGTAAATGGGAATAAAAAGGCTCCCTTTCATAAAGAATTTCCAAAGGAGATTTATTACCAAACAATTTTCTCTGAAGAATATTTAGGAGGTAGGTTGCCATTTGTAAGGAATGATGCCAAAAAGAAGGTGGAAGTGAGGCATGGACAAGAAGAGTACGACTAATGTTATTGATAATACGAATTTTTCTTTCGGCTTTCCCATTTTGTGAAGAATTATGAGGACAAGAGAGACGGAAAGACATGCCATGTTTTTTACAGAATTCCCAAAATGGACCATCATCAAACTCCCTCCCATTATCACATTGTACGTTTTTAATATTACGTTCAAATTGGGTGAGAATGTGATTCCTTAAAACCAAGAATGTGTCATATACATCAGATTTTCGGGCTAAAGGAAAAGTCCACAAAAAAATAGAAAATCAATTAAGTAATACAACATAGTAACGATGTACTGCAGAACTCAAAAAGGGAGATGACCAAAGATCACTATGTATTATATCAAATGGCAAAGTCGTACTAGAAATTGAAGAAACAAACGACAACTTCACATGTTTCCCCAAAACACATGAACCACAAATACTAGAACTTGAAAGTCTATTACAATCAATATTTTTATGGTGCCTAAGAGCATCTAAAATAGGAGCACCCGGATAACCCAACCGATCATGCCAAAGTTTAGGAGAAATTGCGGCAAAAGTACAGGTAGCTTGATTGTTGATTAGAGTAGTAATTGGGTAAAGGTCTCCCCAGCTATCACACCTCATTATTGGCTTCCCCGTTTGAAAATCTTTTACAGAAAAACCAAAAGGATCAAATGCAACAGTTACGGAATTATTAGTAGTGAATTTTCTAACAGAGATGACAATTTTTATGAGTTTAGGAGAATGAAGGACAGTATTTATAGAAAGGGTCGGGCCAGATGAAGTCAAACAAGTGTGACCGTAATAAGAATAGGAATTTTATGACCATTACCAACAATTATATTATTATTTGAGTGAGTGCTCAAATTAAAATAAGACGAGAATTTACCTGATGAGGAAGTCATATGAGAAGTAGCCCTGGTGTCCATGTACCAAGACGGATCAAGAGGATTAAGGGACATAGTATGCATTGCAGCCTGAATATCTGTAGGAGTCATCGAACCGGACTGTTGCTGTTGTCCAGACGTCATCTAAGACTGCTGATTTCGTGGCCTTGGGACCAATAGTCTATCATGCTTGTTTGGAGTACAAGGCCTGGTCCATGCTTGAGTTGGGTAAGGTCAAGGAGGAATGGGCCAGCCATATCCCCAAGGATACACTTGCTACCGAAAAGCAGGGGACATGTTCAAAGCTTGAGCAGCACCGGAGCCTCGCCCAACAGGTTGCGCTTGTTGTTCGATGAACTGGAATATTTGCTCTTCAACTGACTCATGTTTGTCAAATGACCGGAGGAGTCATCTGACGAGGCTTCGACCATGGCAGATTCGGTTGCCGCCTCCTTTTCAATTCCGGTTTTATCAAGAACAAGCGTGGAGCGATTCTTGTAAAAGGGAGGAAATGGATTGCTTTTGATGAATAAGCGTTCCCACACCACGGTAGGCTCGGGTAAGGCCACCAACAAGTGTAACAGCATCCGGCTATCAGAAACTGACGCTGCGACATTCTTCAACTGATCACCGAGAGACTTAAGATGCTGACAGTAAGAGGATGCATTGGAAAAATTCTCCATTGAAGTGGTGGAGAATTCTTGTTCAAGAGCAACGGCACGGGAATGTTAGTTGTCCTGGAATATGTCTCGCGACCTATCCCAGGCCTCCATAGTAATCGAATAAAGCTCAATAATGGTATGCAAGAGATCATTAGAGATAGGGGCATATATCCATGAAAGAGCCATGGAATCCAGAGTAGTCCACAATTCCTGCTCTTGATCAATTGAAGCTAGTTTGGACTACCTTCTTTCAGAAGGATAATATAGGCTAGTACTTTGTGAGAACGAGCATGAATTTTGAATAATACCGACCACGTAGAGTATTGAACATTTTCCATCTCAAGAGTGATGGAAATATGGTTCTTTATATTGGAGACGGCCAAAGACGGATGAAAATATTTGTCCGACATTGTGAGATTGTCAACGACAAAACAGAAGAAAGGGAAGAAGAAAGGGGGCGGAATCAAGAGCGTATGATGAAGAAGCACCCTAAGAAACTGATACCATGAAAGAATATTTTCCTCGATTCCATCTCTCTATTTTATTGATCCTTATATACACAAAGATAGCAACAAATAAGGCTACAAAACTAGGAGTCAAAGACTACAATTTAGGAATGAGTATATATTAGTAACTAATTTACCATAATACAAGATATTTACAACATATTTAACAGTGAGCTACATCCATGAAAACTCTAGACCTGGTATAGGAGGAATCATTAGGATGCCACTGGTAATCGTATCATGGCATTTTGAGTCGTTGCTCAATGCAAGACCAACAATCATGTTGAAGCTATGGCAGCATTATAAGTAACCAGATGGTGCAAGCAAGAGGAAAAAGCTTGTTCTGGACACACCGCTAGATTGAGACTGCCACCTTCATATTTTAGTAAGGAATGAATATCGGGACCTACTTATGTTCAACCGATGATCAGGCTAGTGGTGCTTACGAGTGTTTCTATTTCGACTTGGGCTATAAGGAATATGACTTGGAACTTGATTTTATGTTAGTAGACAACACGATCAAACACAAGGACGCCCAAAAATTGAAGTTGAAAGGAATCATTCAAGACATTAATCAGGCCAAGGTGTGCATGCTGATTTTAGGTTTGATTTTGTACTATTCAGTTAGAGTTTTTAGGCTATTAGTTTTCAAGAAGTGTAATCGAATCTGGAATATATATATATATATATATATATATATATATATATACACTAAATAGTATAATAATTATAGATATCCAAACATAAAACACAATACTTAAGAATATATGAGTTATATATATCCAAACATAAGGAGATCTATTATTCTTTCATCAATTTCCTATATGATTGCATAGCTAATTAGTCCATCAATAATCTATGGTTAGTCCTCTAATTAGTCCATGTGGAAGTGGTACCTTCTAATATTCTTTTATTAATTTCTAAAGCCATGAACTGAACACTTCTATTTACCTCTCTTCTCCATATTTCTCACCTCTCCATTTCTCCAAATCTGAGCTCAAACTGCGAATTTGGAGATTTAGGTTGGTAGAATTTCATCTCGTTTCCAAAAATATGTCGCAGCTTAGTACCGGAGCTCGTTGCTCCTCTATTTCCTAGAACAGCAACAACAACGATACGTTCACATTTTTGCATCTGAGTTCAACTCATTTGTGAATTCAAAGAGAAGGTTTGATGTTATGCCTTAATACTTTTGAAGTTGTTCATTTTTCGTCGATTTATAACGTGTATGGTTTTGCTAGGGTTTAAGCAGGACTCGTAATTTAGCTGTATCAAAGGCTTCTATATGAATTGTTGATATTAGTGTTACTTTAGCTGCTATATCAACAGAACGTTATAGAGAATTCAGGATGCAAAACAATCACTTGAAACCTTTACTGGAACTTCGAGAATCTAATGGTGCCAGATGTTGGAGTACCTTAATTAGCTTCTAGCAGCTTACTTAATTTTAGAAACAACTATTTTGAGATAGTTTGCAATATTTGGAGCTTGTTCCTGGGATGATTGGTATGGAGTGGGTTATGGAGTTGTAGGATGTTTATTAGTTGGATTGGCTCTGTCAGATTTCAAAGGGACATCTAGACCTATATAATTTGGAAAATAGTTACCTGGTTAACATGTTCGTTTGGCCGTAATTAGATCTTTTAACTTGCTCGAGCTGTAAAATCAACGTTCCACTATGTTTGATGCCTTGAGGAATTATGTTTGAGTTATTCTGTACTTGTGAAAAGAAGGAATGTTCAATTTTCATATGCACCTTTATATTGCTGGTTCTGCTAATAGCGAATCAAGTTACTCTATTCCGTGAATATGTCTTGCAACGGCTTGGAATTTCATTTTCTGCATCTCAATCACAAAGCAAACAGGAAGCAGAAAAGATAATGGTGAAGTGAGAGTACAATATGAAGCTTCAGTTTTTTCTGATTCTCAGGGTCAAGATGAGAATAATTAATGAGGTCCTAATTTAGAATCCAAAGATAACACAAATGAAAATGAAAAACGAGAAAAAGACATATTAAACTAGCTGTATCTTCTGATTCTGATTTAGATATAGATGATCTTTCTAGGGATGACTTGGTGAAATTAGTGGTTGAGAAGGAAGAACTCCTAAAAATAAAAGATGATGAGTTTCAGAAAATGAAGAAAAAATCTCTTAGATCTTATGTGGAGATGGAGAATGTAATCAACAGAACTAAACGAGAAGAAGGAAATTTCAAGAAGTTTGCCATTCAAGTTAGTTTTTCTAGGCACGTGCTTTACCAGATACTCCTGCATTTACTTATTGGTGTTGTGCCACTTCTGAAGACACTTCCGGAAGGTGTTAAAATAAATGATAAATAGCTTTCAGAGGTACACTTTTTCACCTAAATGGCCTATGTTCTTTTTTACTGCTTTGATAGACTATGAATTCATCTATGTAACACTTGAACCTTTTTTTACAAACATAAACTACAGTTTAAACAACTTAAGGTTTGTGAGGGTCAATTCTGGAAGACATTATAATTATAAATCTCAACAAAATAGTTCAGAAAACTACCCCTTAAGGCTCTGTAAAATCCTACAGATTTTGGCCAAAGAACCCATTACAGATCAATTACTTCTGCTAAATGCCCCACCCAGCTACTGAAATGAAGTAGAAGCAAAGAAGGTTTGCAGTTTGCTATATATATATATATATATATACATGAATCTGGACGAGGAGATCCCAACATTTTTCCTTGATATTGGAAAACTCTCAGTAGAATGCTTACTATTACTCCAATTGTAACGTTAGGTTCCATAACTTCAAGGGGTTGAATTTGTAATCCTTCCTGTGTACTGTAGATCTATGTTATTTTTGCTTCTTCGTCTTAAATTTCTGCAAAGACCTTATCGAGGAGGTCTCCATTATCTGTTTCTCAGTGCGGGTTTTTGCTTACATCTCGTTACTTTTCAGGCATTCAAATAATTGGTGTACGAAAATATGTTATATTCTAGTTGTTTTTATAATCCTTACAAATGCAGAAACCTGTTCCCTGATTGAGTTCTATCATCCGGTTCTATAATGGGGTACAAAGGTTGGTGAGACGTCAACGTACTACACAAATCAGAATGGACAAAGTTGTTTGTCCAAGGGTCAATAACTCTTTACCGTAGAGTTAGTCAATATTGCCAATCTGTGTTTGAAAAATAGAATTACTGATTCCAACAAAACTTTTCAGAAACACGAAGTAACCAAAGTTTGTTAAACCAGTAATAAAGATAAACAAAAATTAATTTAGAAAAAACAAAAATATGTAAATGTACCAGAATTCTGAAACTTAGAACAGAAAAAGATCAAGCCAAATGAATGCACAGTGTCCTGTTAAGGAAATTATTCCCCCTAGTATCTGAGGTTTGAATTGGAATATGTCCTCTCAGGATAGAATGATCTCTATCACCAGCTTATTAACACTCAAAACTCTGGTGCCAGCGAACCACTATACAACATTAAAGTACGAAGAAAATTTTGTGCAAAAGAAGAAGAAGAAGAAGAAGAAATAAGAAAAATTCGTAAGAAAATTTTTTAAAGAATAAATGGTATTTATAGGAAAGAGGAACAGATTTCAAAAGGTTGCAACCCTTTCAGAATCCACACGACCATTAATGAAAATTTGTAACCTTTGTGAACGGTCCTAGCTGCTCCTGAAAGTTGAAACGTTTCAGACTTTCAGAACTTAATTCCAAAAGGTGGGAAATTTATATAAAATGGGAAAGATTTTAAATAAAACGGGACACGGAAATCCGAGTCGGGTTGGGTTAATCAACTAAAAAGTTAAAACATTTCGGTTAATCTCAACGAAATAAATGAAAAAATTTATGTTATCAACTAATTAACTAAAAATGTTTTGGCCATTTAATTTATTTAGTTAACTAAATAATTAAAACAATCTTTGTCCAAAAAATAATCTCTCGATCATTTTCCGAACCAAAGCAAAGCCGAGTCGAGCAACGATGAAGACGGTGCGAGGGGTGTCCCTCTTTCCAATTTAACTCTCCTATTTTTCTTTCCCCCGCCGATGAGTGACAAATGTCTTTTCACTAAAGCATAAAAGGACTTTCCAAGTTACTCTCTTTTCATTTTTCCTCCATTTCCCATTAATTCTTGCTACATACCCAGCAGTCAACATGACAAATAAAAAATTAATTCATTGAAAAGGAGAGTGTTCCAGCAGATGACCTGGACACCGCTTGTTGCTTCCTAGTCTTCCAAGATATTGATGATTTGTCTAAGAGAACAAACCATCGAGTGACAGATCGTTATGTTAAAGGAAAACCTGCCTAATCTGAATCGCATCATTCATATAGCTTTAAATCACATGCACTACGCAAATATATACTTTGTCCATGTTTTCGTTTCAAAAATTGAACAAGTTGTAGCGATGCTTCCCTGTGTTCTGCTTGTGGGCAATTCGTAAATTGGGATAGTACATGCACAGAATAGGACAACTCTGGTCTAATGAAGCACAAATATATGAGACAACCTACTAATCAACGATAGCTCTCTAGATCAGCAAGTGGACTTCTTTCCTCTAAGGCTAACTCCTGGTTTTTCTTCATAGGAACATTTGCAGGTTTCACTCCTAGTAATCAAACTTCCTAAATATTATCCAAAGCATACTTACGTTTACATATTAAAGTTCCTTCTGAATTTTTCGCAACTTCAATGCCCAAAAAATACTTCAATGCACCTAAATTTTTCATGTGAAAACAATCACTCAAATAAATCTTGAATTTTTGGGTTGTGTGGTGATGTTTTATAATCTACTTGCACCCGAGTTCTTTCATTCCAGCTGGTAGTTTTTTCAATTACCCATGTCTTATTCTGTTCAAGAGGCTCAATTTGAATCTGCATTTCTTGTCTCCACCTTTCATGTTTCACTACTTCTGAGAAGGATGATGGCTCATGATCTGTAGTAATAGCTACAAGAAAATTTTGATATCACCAAGAAAATTTGTCACAATTCAGAAATGTATTATTGGGTAAGGTGTACCTGAGGTATGCATTGTAGAAGATGAACTAGAAGGACTCAATTTTTGGATGATATTATTAACATAATAATAGATGATCAGGCTGTTGTTTTATTCAATGTCCACGACCCAATTGAGGTTCATTATTTTGTTCTTCACTTCCCTCTACCTCTTGGATACAAGACATGTCTTCTTCCCTCATTTCTTGAGCATCTTGCACCTCATTAACTTGTCAATCAAACATATTAATCACTGCATGGTGTTCGCTGGCTCAACTCCAATATCTATATTAAAATCATCATCAACAAATCCATAAACAACAATTTTTTCAATATTCTCATAAGAATTGGGAACTTGTTGGATAAATAGGAATTCATTCTGAAAAAATACAACATCTCTAGAAAAAACGTACTCAATTTGTTTCAAGATTATATAATTTCCAACTCTTTTTCCGGTATAGGTATCCAACAAAAATATATTTACGACTCTTACTAGTAATTTTATCTCCTTTTCTTCCGTGACTATGACCATAAGACAATGAACCAAAGATCCTCAAGCTCTCATAAGAAGGACGCTCTCCATGCAAAACTTCATACAAAGTTTTTCCATTTAAAATCAATGAAGGATTTCTATTTATCAAGTAACCTTCAACCAACACACATTCTCCCCAATAATTAATTGGAAAATGTCCCTAAAAGAGTAGTGCTCGTGCTATATTGAAGATTTGTTATTGTTTTCTCTCCACCCTACCATTTTGTTGTGGGGTTCCAACATAAGAACTTTGAAAAACAATTGTCCTTTTATTCCCCAATTATGAGCATTAACACCCTCAAGTTTTGATAAAAAGGACGGTTTCCATGCATATTTTCATACGGACTTTTTCCATTTTAAATTAATCAAAGGAGTTCTATTTATCAAGCAACCTGCAGCCAACACACATTCTCCCTAAAAATTAATTGGAATATGTCCATGAAAGTGTAGTGCCCGTGCTATATTCAAAATGTGCATGTGTTTCCTCTCTACCCTAACATTTTGTTGTGGGGTTCCAACACAAGAACTTTGAAAAACAATTCCCTGTTCAAGAAAATAATTTTCATGCATGTATATTCCTTCTCATTTTCACTTTAAAAAATTTTAACTTGTTTATTCTATTGTTTTGCAACCATGGCTAGAAAATCAACATCATATGTGACACCTCTTTCTCAATTAACAAAATATCCATACTGCACGGGAATAGTCATTTATAATGTCAGAAAATATGAAGCACCACATGAGGAAAACAGAGTTTACACTATAGACATGATAGGGGGTTCAAGCCTAATCGCCCACACGGTGATGGTGATGGCTTAAATTTATTTTATTTTTTACTTTTTAAAAAGCTACATATCACATGAGATAAAAAAAACAATCCAAATCTATACTTTCCAAGAAACGGCAAAAAGGTAATCATCATAATACTTTAATGTCTTATGGAGAAAGGTAACATTTGATGACCTAATTATCATTGAAGAGTGTAGCTTCTAGATCTTCCAATCTTCACAAATTTCAAGGGAAAAATCCAATGAATAAACTCCAAAACATGTCTTCAACATCAATAAGGAGACACGATAAAAAGCTTAATGATAGTCCAAATAACCATAACATTTGGCATGTCATAATGGCATGATAACAGAAAAAATAGTTATTAGTTACATGGACAAGTTCATGATTTTCATCAACAGTAATCAAAAGCTTAATTATGCAAAGATCTCTGTTAAACTGAATAGAAATCTTAATTTTTTTTAAAGTCTACTTGCAATCTAATCATAGAAAGCTCAATCCTGAAAAAAACATAATTATAGACTTGGTAGAGGATCTTGGGAAACATAACCATTTATCAGCAAGTTGAAACAAATATTTAGATCCGCAACTGCTCTCCATCTTTGTTCTCTTTGATATAATGATGAATTTCTTCAAAACCTTCGCATTTGTGAACAGAAAATTCTGAAAGTTTATAGAGCTTGTCCAAGCCTCATTTGGTATGATCATTCAAGTATCTATTCTTTGATTATTACACACTTGTCTTTGTTCTTTTGTGATTTTTCTACTAATTTAGCTCCTTCAGACATTGTATTTGTAAACCAGCTTGACATACATGTTTCATACCACTTTGTCAATCATCCAAACTGCATAGAACCTAATAAATCTCCCAGTTTGATGATCAAAAATCTCTTATTTGTGCATTCAAATACTTTTACATGCAAGCACTAAGGAATGGAATAGTAGAATTAAATAAGTTAGTCAGTGAGTTATAAGCTCTGCACAAACTATATCTTCCATCTTTTGGCATCATCACAAAGTTGTTTTCATCC